CCTTTCCACCCACACCGTCTCCAGCTTGACTATTATTCCATTGCCCTTCCATCCACACTGACTACAGCTCGACAATAACCAGTTGTCCGAGATTTTGTATCTCACTTTCAATACTGTAAAATGACTAAATTTCACTGGGTTTAAATTTCACTGATTTAGCGTTTCAGGCATATTTAGTGGGTTTTAAATTCACGGTTTTATCATTTGGATAATGTGTTCTATGCTAAATTTTACATATTCACTGGGTTTTAATTTAGCGCATTTTTCAGTCAGCGAAAAAAGCCAAATTAAAACCCAGTGAATAATTAACCCCTTTACAGTATACAAGATGATCATATCAACTTCTAATGAAGTAAATATTCAGACATTTAGATGCACAACAAATCTACGTCCAAAGGCTGTAAGCAGGTCTGCTATGAAAAAATCAACACATCAGTTCCCCATTTATTAAAACCATCTCACATGCTATTGTTTACTCCTTATTTCAAATGCACGAGCAGACTGATTGACACGCAAATTATTAATAATTCAACCAATCAAATACAATATAGCTATGTTCACTGTATGACTGCTGGAAAACTTTGTAGTAGTCAGGCTGGAGTCAGTGTCGTTAGCAGTGGTAATAGGACTTGTTGGTAACACTTTAGCAAATCACTGATAAACCATTAATATATGCTGGTACACATGGATAGGGCACACTTTTTTTTCTGTACCGGTATATAAAACATCACGTATGAATAACAATGATCTACAGAGCTACAAATATAAATTTTCTTTTCATATTCAGTACATTTTTAGTTTCTGTCAGACCAAGTCCGGAAAAAAGACTTGTAGGGTCTGTCCGTGCATGTGTTTGATCGTGCATCATATCTGTGACAAGCCGGGGTCAATTTTGTTCTCTGACAATGACTTGAAAGGATATTGCTCCATTCTTCAGTTACAAAATATATAAACTGACCAGACCAAAATTGAACTGCACCAAGATCATATGTGGATTGTTCATGTTGTTCACTATCACTGTGGGCAATGTACAAATCAACACAGGTAACAGTTTATGACAAAATGAAAGTTGAATTTCTTCAAAATCTAAAAAACAGCTGAACGGAAATCAAATTAAAATTTGATGCTCTTCTGTAGGCATATGTGTATGACCTGTAGACATGAGTTCATGGTTAATGTTTATTGATAAATAATGAATATATATTTATCCCTGAAACCTTTGGCTTTATTAAAATTAGAATGGACGACTTCTTGCTGAATTCAGCAATCCTGAAATGATGAACAATAATATAGACACAGACATCACATTGGGACAAAGATAGCAAGGAAAATTGTTTCCATACACTTTATACACCATACTGTTACATGATACAGTACAGCATACACTGTATACACCATACTGTTACATGATACAGTACAGCATATACTGTATACACCATACTGTTACATGATACCGTACAGCATACACTGTATACACCATACTATCACATGATACAGTACAGCATATACTGTATACACCATACTGTTACATGATACAGTACAGCATACACTGTATACACTATACTGTCACATGATACAGTACAGCATATACTGTATACTGTACACACCATACTATCACATGATACAGTACAGCATACACTGTACACACCATACTGTCACATGATACAGTACAGCATACACTGTATACACTATATTGTCACATGATACAGTACAGCATACACTGTATACACTATATTGTCACATGATACAGTACAGCATACACTGTACACACCATACTGTCACATGATACAGTACAGCATATACTGTATACATCATACTACCACATGATACAGTACAGCATATACTGTATACACCATACTACCACATGATACAGTACAGCATACACTGTATACACCATACTGTTACATGATACAGTA